AATTTTTATATACAAGATATTCCACCTGATACCAATTTCAGAAGAAATTGTAGTCAGCAGCTCAATACTCTTTGATGGTTGAACTGTGCATGGAACAAATGTGAGTCTCATCAATTTAATGAGGACATTATCGTTAATAATAAATAAAATACTATGTGTCAGTTGTAGAATTTTCTAAATTATTTTTAGCTCCACAGCACTCATATCGTTCAATTGAACTCACATTGTAGAAGCATCATGTATATATTTATGTGAGTTTTTGGCAGCAGAAAAAGAAAAAAAAAAAAAAAAAATTTGGTGTGAATAAATTAGATCTATGCGTACGATTATGAGAGAATAATGTATGCGTTAGAATATTTATTCTTGTAGGGTGGGCAACACATCTAGACATGAAAGTCAATATTTTCATTTAAAAGCTTGAACATTAAACAATAGGCAAACTGAAATAATCATAACAAAATAAGAAGCCAAAATGGAAAAATATATGCTTAGGATCTAGTGAACATTATAGTCAAAAGATACTTTAGATGAAAATGAAGGAATTGTTCAAGAGACTGATACGTGGCTACCACTTACGTATTGTAATGTGTTAGAAGAACCATAATAATATAATCATTTAATAGTTTCATACGTACTCTGTAGTCAGAATTCTTAATAGTCATCGATGTTCCACTACTTACTTCTACAGTTTAGTGATATTCCTCTTAATTTGTAAGATATTTTAAGTTTAAATCTAGTGAATAGCGAGTTTAGAAGTATTTTTATTATCATCCCTTAATGTAAATATATCGTTGTATAGTTAAACAAAAATAAAAACAACCATCGATAGCTTAAGGAAAATAGTGAAAGTTTATGATAGTGCATAACAGTTTTATTTTTGTGAATCCATCTAGTGAATAAAGAAAAGAAAAGACATACAAATTCTTTTTGAAAGTTCCTTTTATAGCCTTACGGGAGATTTTTTTTTTTTTTCCTTTTATAGCCTTATGGGAGAACAAAATTAACTTACCTATAAAATATATGGTATTTGCTCACCATAAATTAACTAGTATAATATTTTTGAATGTGTATGTAGTACTATATATGTGCATATATATTATATATATTGGGGGTATAATATGTTCATATTATATGTTAGGGGTAAATATTTCATAATAAGAGGTCAAATTACTTTCCTATTGGCAATTTTTCATTAATTTGGGTTTTATTAAAGAATAATGCTAGAGAGATTAACTTTGTAGACTAAAATTGCAAATTCAATGACGTGTCACTAAGAAATAAGTCATTAATCAACACTTAAGTTATGATCCAATCATCAACTTCCATGTCATTTAGTTTAAAAATTTTAGTTTCCCTAGCATTATCTTTTATTAAAATTGAGTGAATTTTTTTGTCTAGAAAATAAGACTTGTAAAAGTCTATCTTTAAACAACCTTTATATCTGGTGCTCAAATGTAAAAGAGTTTGAAGTCAAAGATTAATCAGGTAGACTGCCAAGTTGATGAACTATTTGTTAGTCAAACAGATTATGGAAATGATGATCGAGTTGAGAAACGATGGGTAAGATGACTACGTAATCTAATCAAGCAAAGTCAAACCCAGAAACTCCTATATTTCCGTGTCAACTCAATCTAGCTTGGTGTGATTAGTATAGAACATCAAGTAGACATGTGCGGGTTTGTTATACCTAGAGATTAACAGAATTCCATGGTAGAGCAAATTGTTTCAGAAGTGAGTAAAGCAGTCTAAACTACTAATTAGATTGAAGCATGCAGCGCAGCAGCTGTATTTGTTCTCTGACTTTGTCATGCAACCCAACTTGTTAAACTAGATATATATAATCTGAGAAATCACATGCTTAACTATGGAACTGGTTTTCAATCAAAGGAGTCGGTGTTGTATCTTATTTATGAAATAGCAAGTGACTAATAACTAGCTTGAAGACTTTGTCGTTCAACTCTCCAAAATCAAGGGTTGGTCCCTTCTGTTAGGCCATCTCCAACCGAAGGGTCCAAAGGATCAGAGGGCCGTAAATAGTTCAAAAACCGTCTCCAACCGAAGGCTAAGCCAGAGGGCTCTGGAATCCGAGAGGGCCCCACGGAATCCCAAAGGGCTAGAGGGCTAGCCACTTTCTGCCAGCCAGCCAGCCTCGGGCTGGCCATTTTTTTTTTTTGCTTATGTTGGATTTCCTGTCGGTTATAACCGACAGAAATACATTTGTATTATTTAGTATAAATGTATTACTGTCGGTTAACTAGTCTAACTTGTTTACCCTAGTTAGGGCTGGTTTGGTATTGCTGTGCTTTGAAAAAAAGCTGTTTCTGCTGTACTGTGAAAATAAGCAGCTGTGAAATAAAGCAGCAGAGTGTTTGGTAAACTTTTTTGTAAAAGTGCTTTTGAAAAAATAAAAAGCAGTATTATAGTGTTTGGTAAACTTTTATGTAAAACAGATGTAAAAAAAAGTCGGTTTTTCAAAGCTGGATTTTGCAGCTTCTTGTTTTTGGCTTTTTTTCACCCAAAACTGTGAAAAAAAACTGAAATTGAATGTTTACCAAATACAAAAATAGCTCCCAACTTTTTTAATACCAGCTTTTTTAAAATCATCTTAGTACCAAATCAGGCCTTAGGCTAGTTTACCTTAATTTCTTAAAGAACGGAGTATGCCTCTGATCCAAATTCCGATGCTTGATTATATCATATAATAATAATTTTTTTTTTTTTTTGGAAGAACTCATATAATAATAATTTTGGTAGGTGAAATACCTTTAAAAATTCTCCTCCCTTGAAGAGATGGTAGTTGAAATATCTTTAAAAATGGTAGGCGAAATATCTCTTAAAAATATTCTCGTTTTGAAATGAATAATTTACTCATTTTACAATTTTCCTTTTAATTATATATAGGGCATGATTTTAAAAAGCACAAGGCGCTAGTTGGACGGCAAGAAGGGGCCTAGCCTACCTAGACGGTTTGTTTAATTTTAAATAAATTTATTATATAACATGTAAATAAATGTTTACTTATGCTTAAAAAATACATAAATTACCAAACATATAATGAATGTTCATCAAAGTATCCAATAAGTCTAAGTCTCTTACAATTTATTGAAAAAAAAATTGCAAAATAAAAATCATCAATTTTCTAAGTGAGAATCATAATCTATGCAGTCTAGACAAGTGCCTAGGGGTATTAACAGGTTGTCACCATTTCTTATTTTTTTAAACGCTTATGGATTAATCATGATAGTCGCCTAACGCCTATACGGGTCTAGACAGTGTTAAGCGAAGATTTTTATAACACCGTAGGGTACTTAATTTCGTCAACTTTTTGTGTGTATATATGTATGTAATATGTATTGGGGATCTATGTCTTCTGGTGCGCGCCCAAACATCATGCACGTCGTGTACGTTGACTATACGCATGGATGCGGCGGCCCTAACGCGTTCTTCTCTAAACTTAGGGTTATGCCATCCATCTCTAATCCTCATCACCTAATAACTTCCAAATACCTTTTATTTTTCAATTAAGCCACTCTTAATATCCTTTGGAATATTAGACTACGTAAGGTTGGAACATGGCCTGCTATGTCACCGACACTAAAAATGATTAAATTGAATACGTCCACTTGTGTACATGGTGTTTTAATATATATATTCCGTTTAGGCACCAAATGCCAATTGACCCCAACGTCGACAAATGACATATGACAGGACAGTGGAGCGACACAAACGACTCGTCCAGGAATATATCTATTACTAGTATATCGTTAAATAAACCAATAGCATCAAAGGAAAAATCTTGTTTCTACACTATTTAACGAGGTAATCACGTTAGAACAACATTTGCCTATTCAAAGATAGGAACTCCTACCAAAAAATTTACATGTTCGAATCATAGAGTTTTGTGCTAATTATCACAACTGTTCATATTATAAATTATTGTATAAAGATCATCTCTGCAAAAAAATAAAATAAAATAAAATAAAAATTAAAACTAAGATCTTTTAGTCAATCTATTGTAAAAAAGACATAGACGGTTCGTAATGTTATTACCAATTACGATCAACTGTTTTTATACAGTTTGATGACTAACGACCTTAGTTTTAATTGATTTTTTGCAGATGTGATATTTATAAAGTGATTTATAATATGAATGGTTGATCATATACACGAAGTTCTATAAATCGGCAACGAAAAATTTTAAGTAGGAACTCTTAGTCATTCTTTAAGTAGTCCAATATTATTCATAACATTAGTCAATGTTTCAATTTACTCTGCTCGTAATAATTGATATTGATATGAAAGTAAAAAAAAAAAAAAAAAAAAATATATATATATATATATATAGTTACGCCTCGTAAGAATAAAGATAAACCGTTTCTCGTTATTGCCATGGGGGAATAACACCCATTTTCTAAGCAATCTTAGTTATTTCTTATTGGTGGGGGTTCGGCACGTTAGCTGGTATTTATTTAGTCATTCAGATAGTAACTGGCCTTTTTTTCAGCTATGCATCACACACCTCATGTGGATCTAGCTTTCAACAGCATAGAATCAAGATTCTAGAAGATGTTAGGCATTAGACGGGCAGTGGATTAGGGCCTAGCGGTTAGACGGCTAGGCGTGGCCTAGGCGGACTAGGTGGACTTAATTAAATGTATTATATTTCGTGTAAATAAGTGTGTGTCTATACTTAAAAAAAAAATATATATATATAATTTTATCATAAACTACAAAATAGAATGACATATACATTATGAAGTATAATAAAATCTAACATGCACATTCGTATTCTATATTGATTAATATATATGTGACAGCTGCTGTAGCCTCCATTCTTCCTCGTCAATATATCAATATAGTGTATATCCATCTGAATTGTGAAGACTGGAGCACTCTTAATCTGGACATAAAATCGTGCACGTTTACTTCTCGACAATCTATACCAACTTTATATTCTCTAAAATAATAGTCAAATTCCTGATCATATTATATATAGATGTACACCCCGTGACCTTATTACACACTAATTCCTCAAACCTCTCCATTGTGGCAATGGCTTCTAAGTTCTTTCATCTTGTGAAAGTTTCATCATTTCTCATAATCTTCCATTTCCTCAGCTCTCGATCTCTAGCAGATGTCCCTCTAAACACTCCTCTCCCACCAGAAACCATTTGCAAGTCCACCCCACATCCTTCTTACTGCACATCTGTCCTTCCCCACAACAACGAAAGTGTCTATGACTTTGGCAGGTTTTCAGTCCAACGTGCACTTTCCGAATCCCATAAGCTCTTAGATTTGTATGAAAAATATCTTCAAAAGGGTTCAAGTTTAACAAATCCTGCAATCCAAGCACTTGAGGACTGCAAGCAGCTTGCATTGTTAAACATTGATTTCTTATCGAGCTCCCTCGAAACTGTTAACAAAGCGAGTGATGTTCTTCCTATCTTGGATGCCGATGATGTCCAAACATTGCTTAGCGCAATTCTAACCAACCATCAAACTTGTTCCGATGGGATTGCATCTCTGCCTTCTTCAGCTGGGAGTGTCCTAGGTGATCTATCAGTTCCACTCTCTAACAACACAAAATTGTATAGTACCTCTTTGGCTCTCTTTACCAAGGGTTGGGTGCCTAAGGACAAAAATGGGGTGCCAAAGCAACCCAAGAGGCAGTTCAAATTCGGGAAGGGACGTTTGAACTTGAAAATGTCAACCCATGCTCGTGCAATTTATGACTCCGCTATCAATCATCGGGGAAGAAGGCTACTTCAGGTGGGAGACGAAGAAGTTTTGGTGAAGGACATTGTGGTTGTGAGTCAAGATGGAAGTGGAAACTTCACCACCATCAATCAAGCCATTGCCGTTGCACCAAATAACTCTGTTGCTAGTGGTGGGTACTTCATGATATATATCACTGCCGGTGTTTATAAAGAGTACGTGTCAATTATATCACAAAAGAAGTATTTGTTGTTCGTCGGAGATGGTATCAATCAGACTATCATCACAGGAAATAACAGCGTAGGAGATGGATCGACAACTTTCAATTCTGCTACTTTAGGTGAGGTTCAAAATTTAATAAACAAGCTGACAACGTAACATATATACATATATATATATGATTGTCTGACAAAATATATGTGTGTGTGAGAATTAAAAATCTATACAATATGTTACAATTGCAAATATTTTAAAGATGATTGATATAAGCTATATAATTTGCTTCGTGATCACCATTGCAGCTGTGGTGGCACAAGGGTTTATGGCAGTAAACATCACTGTACGTAACACAGCTGGACCAAGCAAAGGACAAGCAGTTGCACTTCGAAGCGGAGCGGATTTTTCAGTGTTCTATAGTTGCAGCTTTGAAGGGTACCAAGATACCTTGTACACACATTCCCTTAGACAATTCTACAGAGAATGTGATATCTATGGAACAGTTGATTTCATATTCGGCAATGCTGCTGTTGTTCTACAAAATTGCAATATCTACCCTCGTCAGCCTAATCAAGGGCAATCCAATCCCATCACAGCTCAAGGTAGAACGGACCCGAATCAGAACACAGGAACTTCAATCCACAATTGCACTATTACACCTACACCTGATTTGGCTTCGAGTAATTATACTGTCCAGACCTATCTAGGGAGGCCATGGAAGGAGTATTCAAGAACAGTTTACATGCAAACTTTCATGGGAAGTTTAATTGATCCTGCTGGATGGCTTGCTTGGAGTGGAGACTTTGCACTGAGTACATTGTATTATGCTGAGTACAATAACACTGGTCCTGGATCAAACACTACAAATAGAGTTACATGGCCCGGTTACCATGTGATCAATGCAACTGTTGCTGCTAATTTTACAGTCTCCAACTTCTTGCTGGGGGATAATTGGTTGCCTGACACTGGAGTCCCTTACACTGGTGGTTTGGTTTGAGCAACTTGTTAAAATTGTTGTATTGTTTATTTCATTTGATGTGCTTTTATGATAAACATTCTTATTGTGAAATGGTGAAAGCTATATTTATAATTTGAAAGTGTATGGTTTCTAATTTATAATTAAAACAAAATGCTTCAAGCTAGCTAGCAATGCCATAGAATTTTTCTTTTCTTTTCTTTTCGGAGTCATATCTACTGTTACTGTTAGTTTGAATAAAACTGGGAGAGGCCGTTGAAGGTGGGCTGAGGCTCTTTGAGGGAGGTGTGTGGGTCCTTTTTATACATATGCTCAAGATAGAAGCATATTGTTAAAGAAAATACTAAAGAGACCAAATTTTGAGAGATCACGTTGTACCACCTCTTTAATAAGACCTAGCATTGCTCTACTTCAAATTGGAATAAAATTAGGTGTATTATCTCAACGGAGCAGGCATGTTTTGTATTATCTTTCTATGTAGCAATATATATAATTATTGCTTATCTATCTAACGGTGTATATACCCCTATCCGAGATAATAAATGATCAGTTAAGATGGTACAAATAGAAGTACTTGTTTCCAATTATAGATGGTTTCGGAACCTATTCGGTAGACATTCTAATAGTATACATCCACTGCGCGTGGTTCACAAGCCACCCAACCAATATGTTAGCAAAATGTTACCTATATCAATGATTCTAAGTGAAGCAATGCATATATGCCACCCTGAAGTCGCTGTGTATGTTACAACCAATTACGCTTAATTATAGCAGTTTGATAGGAAAAATTACAATCCATGCATACATGCACGAATATGCATGAAGGACGAAGCAACGGCCAAACTCGATTCTCGTTGCACCGGCCATTTCTTTCTCACAGCAAAATTTAGCTCTGTCCGTGTTTTAAGACCTCCCCCTTCTCTCTCCCTTTCAAAACCTGTCTGTAAAGCGTCCCGTGTATATAAATATATATTCTTCCTCTCTCCCATTCCCACCACCCCATCGCCCAATTGTACATATCATTTTCCTCTAGACCAAACAAACAAAAAAAAAAAAAAAGAAACAACAACGCCTTTCTCTGCAGTCCTCCCTCCATGAATCTCTGATCGGGGTGTAATGTGGTTTTCGCGCACAATGTCTCGCTAATTTACACATGCATCGTACAAGTTATGATGATGACGACGAGCAAATAAAGTGTAGCAATTGGCGGAGACTCACATTAAACACACCGATCTGGGTAAAAAAATCAAGAGGAATGGAGGTGCAGAGGATGAGGCAGTTGATGTTATTATGGTCTAGAATGCAAAGCGCTCGTGTGGCCCTCGTGGGTGGGAATCACACCGCCGCCCGGTTTTGTACTCGCTAAATTATTTTCGCTCTTCGTGTGGCCCTCTCCCTCTCTGTCCCAAAACAATCATTCATCTGCTCTCTTTTTTTTTTTTTTTTTCTCACAATTCAATCTTTTACCTGTCCGACCGAATTATTAGTCTAGAAATTCTCAAATTTGCACACAGTAATAATACCCAAATTTTTTCGCAACTATGGCGATCAATTTGATCCAAGGCTTCCGTACCAAATGCCACCCGAAGCATGCTGCTCCAATCGGATTGTATCCAGATGCCAAGTATTTGGTTATTCGGGTTCCCAATTCCAGAGCCTTGATCCTCGTTGCTCGTTCTTTGATCTTGGCTTTGTGCATCGCCTCACTCCCGTGGTTGAACTCACTCCTTCCCACAGCAACCACTTCTCTGCCTGAAATAATGAGCTCATCCGACGTGGTTAATCTGGAGCTTCTGCCCTTGATCTTCCGCGACTTGGCCAACGAAGGTCTATACAAGAAAGGCACACATAAAGCTGTTTACGTAAGCAACGGAGATGAAGAAGCTATCAAAGCATCTCAGATCCTCGATAACGATGATATTAATGAAATCGAGCTCATCAACTCCGACAAACAAAGCTCAACCCCTGAAAACTCAATCGACTTTGCCTTCGTCTCTGCCTTCCCTGATGCCTCAAAGTTTATCGAAAGGACCCTTAAAATCAGTGGGATTGTCGTGCTTCCGCTCAGCAATGACGCCTCCAACAGCTTCAAGAAGCCTAACAACTACAAGATGGTGTACCTGAGGCGATTTGAGACGACCATTTTGGCAATGAGGAAGACCAGCACCCATGCAACCGAAACTTCATCCTCTACCACCACCTCTCCCACAAGGAGAAGGCTCTTGGCTGAGGAGGCAAAGAAGGAGGCGCTGAAGAAGCTTGAAGATGTGCTTCTAGAGCCCCCGAGAGCCTCATCTGGGAAATCGAGGCGTTACTTGAAGCGAACGAGGTACCTCCCAGACTTGATGGGTGACTCGCTTGAGAGCTACCCTAGAAGGGTTTTCATTGACGTAGGGTTGCCAGAAAAGGAAGGCGGAAGTGGGACGAGCTGGTTCGCGAAGAACTACCCTACCCGGGACAAGAACTTTGAGATGTACAAGATCGAGACAGTGACAGAGGATAGTTCCGGGAAGGAGGTGGTTCAGACCGGAATATCGGAGTGGCTGAACAAGAATGTGAAGGATGAGGAGTACGTGGTGATGAAGGCTGAGGCCGAGGTGGTGGAGGAGATGGTGAAGAGTAAAGCGATTCATTTGGTGGATGAGCTTTTCTTGGAGTGCAAGCCACAGGGACATAATCGAAAAATTAATGTTAGGAGCCGCAGGGCATATTGGCAGTGCTTGGCATTGTACGGACAGCTTCGGGACGAAGGTGTTGCGGTGCATCAATGGTGGGGTTAGACAGAAAAAAGTTTCCGAGGCATAGAGACAGAGAGAGAGAGAGCAGAGGGAGTTTCATGATTTCAGAGAGAGAGAGAGAGATGGAGAGAGAGAGGTAACAATATAGCAAGCAAAAATTGTCGTTGTTTTGTTAATGTTTTTTCTTTTTTGTTTTCTTTTTTCGATTGCGTTTGTTGTGTTGGTGTGTACTACCTTGTATGTATGGGCTTAGAGTTTATATAATTCGTCGTCATGAAGAAGAAGCTCTCTGAAGATCAATTGACCATAAAAGAAGATGAAGCGTTTGTGACACGAGGAATGGTTTCAATTGAAAGTTGGAGGGGTGTTATGTTATTAAACAAAAAAATCAAAACAAACAAAGAAATACAGAGAGAGATATATATATATATATATATATATATATATAGAGTGTGCTGCTGCTAATTCTTTCATTGATTTTTGGTACTTGTATCATTTAGTCATGATTCAAAGCTAAGCTGCCCAGATGTGTATGAATTGAGATCATGGTTTTACAGGCTAGTGAGAAATGTTGGAAGCCAAACAGTTTCCAGCAACAAGAAGAAGCCAACGGCTAGTTTTGTTTAAAAGACCAACAGCTAGTTCTCAAGCAAAGTCCAAAGAGACAAATGGAGGGGTGAGATTCAAACTGGGTTGTATGGTTAAGATTAGAACAGTACAAGGTTAGGTAGAGTCCTTTATCTTCTTTCTCAATGGAGGTAAGATTGACGACTGTAAAAGGGACCAGAAACCTACCAATTTGATGATGCATATATGAATGTAAAGCTGCAATGTTGGGGAGCCATGCCTTCCTTTCATTCACATTCTCTCTGCTTTGATTTCTTACCGAAACACTGAAACTCCCTTTGATTCAAATACACAAATACAATACATTAACATGGTATCAGAGCCTAGAAAGCGATTCAAGAACTGATAGGAAGTCTGGATTAAGCAGCAGTGAGCTTAGAGCTCATATTTTCAACGGAGAGAACTATGAGAAGGATTAGGATGACCACCATCTTCAAGTCACAAGACCACTGGAAAATGGTTCAATTAAGGGTATGAAATTCCAGAGTCTGATGATGAGTTAGAGGATGATGAGGAACTCTGTGATTTGAAAAATATATTGAGAGATAATGAGATGAGAGATGCTAAAGCTCTGGGAACAATACAAGGGGCAGTTTCAGATGCCATTTCCCCCCGAATATCACATGAAGAGACGGCCATGAGAGGTCCTGCAAAGAGAATACAGAGGTGACAAGAAGATAACCCAAGTAGAACTTCAATCTCTTAGACGTGATTCTGATATACACGCACGAGAGAGGGTGAACCTCTTAATAGATTGTTTGATGCTGTGAACCAAATGACAACTCTTGGGGAAGAACTACCCAAGGAAAGACTTGTACAGAATTACTAATCAGTTTGACAAGACCCTATGATTCTATAGTAAAGTTATAGAGTAGGCTAAGGACATCGACACATGCACAAGTTATGGCTTCTTTGAAAGCTTTTGAGCAAAGGCTAGAAAGGCATGCTGGTGCGCCCATAGAAAGGACTTTTTAGTCCTTTAGTGTTAATCCTAGAGAGGGGATTCAACTGGTCATATAACAACTTCAAGCAACAAAAGAAAACATGGAAAGGGAAAAGTAAAAAATGGGAAGGAAAACCAAGCTTGCCTGTGAGAAATAATAGTGCATAAGGCCCAAAGCCGCTCTGCAAAATCTGTGATAATGATCATCTCGGTGTTTGTTGGTTCAAGGGGAAACCCAAATGTCACAAATGTAAAACGTTTGGTCATTTGTCCGAGGACTGTGGTTCTAAAGGAAATCAACTGTAAAATATGCACACAAAGTTGAAGAGGAGACAAATTTGTTCTATGCTTGCAATGTCACTACCATTGAGAAGAATAAATGTGTATGGTACATTGACAATGGGTGCAGCAACCGTATGACTGCACATAAGTCTTTACTCATCAACATTGACAGGGAATTTACTGGAAGAGTTAAAATGGGCAACGGACAACTTGTGAAAGCCACTGGTAGAAGCACTTTGGTGATATATTGAAACAAAACAAGGAAGAAGATATATCAAAGAAGTCTTGTTGGTACCTGGGCTTGATAAGAATTTGTTAAGTGTAGGCCAGATGATACTACATGCTATTTTCTATTTTTGGTGACTCAATGGTAGAAATCTTTGATGACAGAGGCTTGGAGAACTTGGTTACCAGGGTTTAAATGACAGTAAACAGAAGCTTTCCATTGTTACTAAGCTACCGTCAGTCTATCTCACTGAGAACAAGTGTCACAAAGACTACTTGGCTATGGTATAAGAGATATAGCCACTTGAATTTTCAAAGTTTGAGAGACTTGCGGAAACTGGAAATGGTCCTAGGACTACCTGAGCTGCAAGAAGGAAATGAAACCTGTGGAGGATGTGTCTTAGCAAGCATCATAGAGATAGTTTTGAGACATGCAAGACTTGGAGAGCTACACAATCTGTGGAAATTATCCACATAGATGTTTGTGGTTCAATGCAAACTGCAAAAGTGAGTAAGAACAAAAAAAATTTAACCTTCATAGATGATCATACTAGGATGTGTTGGGCATATTTCATGAGGTATAAGTCTGAGGTGTTCAACATATTCACGAAGTTCAAAATGATGGTTGAGTTCAAAAGACCAACGGCTAGTTCTCTAGCCAAGTCCGAATAGACAAATGGAGGGCAGATTAAGCCCCAGTTTGGGGTTGAGGTGATTTTTTAAAAAGCTGCCATGAAAAAAAGCTGATAAGGATTTTGGTGTTTGGTAAACATCCCAAAACAGCTTTATTTCAAAGTTTCACATGAAAAAAAGCCAAAAAGTGGAAGCTGCATTTTGCAGCTTCCAGAAGCGGCTTATTTTTCCAAAACGCGGAGCTACAGTACCCAATTAATGAATTTTTTCAATTTACCAAAACTGCCCCCTCCTTTCTCCTTTCTCCTTCTCCCGATCCTACACTCTGCACTCTCTCCTTCTCTGTTGCAAAAAACTCCCGCCGCTGCACTCTACACCCCTCTTCCCTCCCGCCGCTGCACCTCTTCCTCCTCCTCCTTTTCGTTTCTCTCCGTCACTCTCAACGCCACACCGCCGTCGCCTTCCAGGTACCAACTACTCGACTTGCTTTCAATTTTTGCTATAATTAATTAATTAAATTTTTAGATTAGGGTTTGGCTGCTCTTTTCTTTTGCTGCGTTGCAATTCTTCTTATCCCAGATTTTGTTTCTCGTAAAATTTCATACCCTTATTTTGGTTTTTCCATTTTTTCGATTTTGCCCTTTTCTCGCCTGTGTTCTCCTCTTCGTTTCCCTGTTCTCCTCTTCCTTCTTCGCTTTCAAATCTTTTTCGTATACAATCTTCCATACCTCAATTTCTAGAGAGAGAAACAAAACAAAATCGAAAAAAAAGGTTCGAAAAAGGGGCCGAAATTTTTCTCTTCCGCTTTGTTCGCTTCCCATTATCGTCTTCTCCAGCGCCAATTCAAATTTGTTTATCTGAATTGCGGCTGAAAGTCCAAAGCTTGCGGTCCGGTTCGCTCCGATCTGACTCGCCGAGTCAGTTGGTGTTTGGCTCGGTTCCGTGTCGGATGTCATAGCGGAGGAGATCGTTCGGTGAAATCGATATGGTAACTTGAAAGAAATATGTGAAATGGTTTATTAGTTTGATTTATATGATTAGCTTAGCTGAAGTCTGATTATGCAAGTTTAATTTTGATTTAGTTTTTTGGTTAGCGAAATTGTTGGTTAGCTTAATTAGCTGAAGTTCGATTAGCCGAGGCTCCGGATTGATTGGATGGTTTTTAGTTTTGTAGCTCAAGTCATGTAGGAATTGCAAAGACAATAAATTTGCAACAATCAGGCACAAAAGATGTTTAATTTTTTGTTTGTCAACTTTTATTGGTTGTGATGCGAGAAGGGTTTGCGAAATTCAAATTCCATCGATATGCATCGGTAGCTATGGCTGCTACAAGAGGAACGAGTAAAAGAGATGAAACGGATTATTGTTGGGATTTAGATGCTAATGGCGTTAAGATTGTCTAGTAGAGGCATTGTGGTTCAAACAATCCAATTTTACTTGATAGATTCTATTGAGTTTAGTCATATGGGTAATCGCGTGATATGTGAAGTAGATATTCTGTCACAGTTACAGGACCTCAACGACTTTCTTCTGGAGGAAAACACTTGAAAGCTGTTGACGTCAACATGAACAACATGCCAGATGTTGCCATGACTCTTGCTGTAGTTGCTCTTTTTGCTGATGGACCAACTGCCATAAGAGATGGTATGGTCTAGTCTTTTTCCTGTGAATGGCTTGTGCTCACTATTTTCGTTGTTAGTAGACAATAAAGGAATAGGGTGGGTGGAGTCCGCATAGGTGTTTAGAACTGGTAAATAGACAAGTAACAAATCAATCTCGTGGTTAATGGATCCATGCTAAAAATCCTTTTCTTAACAGTTAGAAGTGAGGATGAATATTTTCCGGGTTGAGGCCTTTGCTGATACATTTATCATTCAAGATTAATCTTTTTGCGTATCTGAGCAGAATGCTTATGGTTTTAAAAGTAGTTCATATTATTCAAAAATAACATGTGAAAACAATCACAAAGGCCTGCTTTGACTTCTTGAGTTCTTATCATCAGTGGCAAGTTGGAGAGTGAAGGAGACAGAAAGGATGATCGCCATATGCACTGAACTAAGAAAGGTTCGTTTTAGTTGGCTGCCCTCACACTTGATAGTCCCACACTTTCATATGCTTATTACTTCTCTAACATTTTTCGGACCTAAATTTCAGCTGGGAGCAACTGTTGAAGAGGGACCAGATTACTGCATAATCACACCGCCAGAAAAATTAAACGTGACAGCAATAGACACGTATGATGACCACCGAATGGCCATGGCTTTCTCTCTTGCTGCCTGTGGAGACGTTCCAGTTACTATCAAGGATCCCGGTTGTACCAGAAAAACATTCCCCGATTACTTTGAAGTCCTTAGGAAGTTTACCAAGCATTGAACAGCGGTTATAAGATATATTTATCTGTAGATAGGGAGAGAGAGGGATCGTCCTTGTGCCTCTACAGCCAAAGCAGTGCAGATGGAAGCCACACTTGTTTCAGTTTCTCTTTATTCCCCTGTAATTTTGGATGATTTGTATTTGCGAGTTGAGCTCGTTATTGTTTCTAATATTTGTGATCTGATTCTACTCAATAATAGTGATTCATGATTTGATTCATGATTTGGCACTGCACATGATACAAGGGTTTTTCTATCCGTGCTACGGAATCCAAATTTAAGTACATTAACAATATTGTACTAATGAATTTTAACTATTCATTCTAAAATATTTCAATTGAAGTAGTTTGTCATACTAATTAATATTTAAGATAAAGTTTATAAATATGTTTGTTTTACAAATAAAGTATATTTAGTAATTCACCTTTATTGGTTAAGAAAATTAAATTAATGGCACATCTAGTATTATACCCTTTTTGGTCATTTTACAGTCACAGCTGTTTTACATAAAAGTTTACCAAACACTATCATACTGCTTTTTTTTCCAAAAGCACTTTCACAAAAAAACTTACCAAACACTCTGCTGGCTTTTTTTTACAGCCGCTTTTTTTCACAGCACAACAGAAGCAGCTTTTTTTTAAAGCACAGCAATACCAAACCAGCCCTAAAACTGGGTTGTATGGTTAAGATTAGAACACTACAAGGTTAGGTAGAGTCCTTTGTCTTCTTTCTTAATGGAGATAAGACTGATGACCGTAAATGGGACCAAAAACCTTACCATTTTGATGATATGTGTGTGTGTGTGTGTGTGTGTGTGTGTGTAAAGCTGCAATGTTGAGCAGCCGTCACTTCCCTTCATTCTCATTTTCTCTGCTCTGATTTCTTACCAAAACACTGAAATTCCTTTTGATTCAAATACACAAAAGACAAAACATTAACAAGTAATCTCACAGTTTTCTCATAAATGAGGCATCTAAATTCATCTTCTTTTCATAATATTATATATGCATTTTATTAAGTTTATTAAGTTTTTATCAAGTTTATTATGTTTTATCTTGTGTGGATTTGTTCTCTAGTTTCACCAACCGTGTGTTTAAAATGTTCTATCTTGCCTTTGATAAAGAAAGGTTTGAGTAGGGCTGGCTTTCTTGCACAACCTATTAACTCGACAAGAAATGACATGAAAATAACAGATTTGGGGTCAATACGAATTAGGTCGTTAAAGGGTCACATGTTAAAAACCAGTTAAAAAAACGGGTATGACACGTAAACGACACGAACACTACCGTTTGTCACGTCTTGACATTATGCATGACAATTTCTTGTATGACCTATTAACTTGGCACGAAACGACACGACTTGTTAAAGAGTCGTGCAGGTCGTTATTGGGTCACTTGTTACGAACCCGTTAAGATAACGGCTTTAACACGACACGATCTATTATGATTATAAGTATGACATAAAAATGACGTGAATATGACAAACACGGCCCATTTACTAAGTCTAAATTTGAGACTCTAAGCCACTTTGGAGTTAGCCCAGTAATGAAAGTGGCGGGTCGATGGGAGTCATTGTTCCAAACTCTTATAACCCAATAATTGTCAAGAATTTGCCTGCGGGTCATAGACTCACAAGTCATAATGGATATTTGCATTTTTGTTGAATTACTCAACGCCTTATTCTTGAGGCAAAAAAATTTAGTTACCTTCAATTGCTTGAGTCGTAATCAATTAGGGGAATCAACTGCAAGAGTAAATGTGAGTTGTATGTCAGTTGTTGTTTAACATTTTTAAATATTTGGCCTCTGCACTACCTTGTTTGTTTTTGTTACGTTTTATGGTTTGGATCACTAAAATTGTTGGGACGAAGTTTGTAGTCGAAAATTTGGACAATTAAGTGTTTGACAATATCAGACGCTTATGGCTTAGAACAGGTGACAAAGAAATTAAGACCTAGGATTTAACAAAAAGGGATAATTAAGCGAGTTCTTTTAGCTAAAGTTGCTTCTTTCTACTAATGAAATTTCTCAAGGTGATCACAAGAACGAAAACATAAATTACTAACCTCGTTAAATTCTTGTGTTCTTTTAATCTAAACGGCTACTGTTATAGTTATGTGAACTCCAAAATTAGTTCATTTCAAAGCTCATCAAGTCACAATCAGAGATTCAGAATAAAAACTCCAATAATTAAGTTCTCTTCCCAGTAATTATTAACAGCTTACACACCATCTCCAAATTCAACACCAGCAGGGCTTATCCTGCATTTTTATTTGTCACAAGCCATCACCTATATATATTGCATTGCGACAATTTAAATACAACACAAAGAGACAAAACACCAGAAACCCGACGTAACTAGTTAATTACAACTCTCACGAGCAATGCCAACGACAGAGTTGGCAACGTCAAACAAAATTCTAAGGTTCTGCTGCTGCAAATTGGCTATCACGTTCAACACCGAGTTCGCATTATTGGGAGCTGCCGCCATCGCTAAGCAAGCCAGTGAGCCTGAGCTGCTGTGAATCAAGCTGTTCTCCAATGGCAGTGTCAACTTCAACCCCGTGAATTGAAACGTAATGGCTGGGGCCACAACTTCATTGGTGGCAGAAAAACAAGTGTCAAAGGCTCCCAATGACGAAAATGTTCCATTCACTTGTTTTCTAAATTCGTCGCGGAGTGCCGTGTAGACGGGTGGCACGAATCGAGTTATGACTGTGCCCGAGTCTATGATTGTTCCCGCCCCGGTGTTAGGGTTGAATGCTAGAAGCTCTGGGGAAATCGGTACGAGAACCCGGCCCACACTGATTCCGGTCAGGTTGACATAGTACAGTGACGGACGGCGTGGGTTTCTTAGAAGTGGGGTGGTCCGGATTGCCTTGGGCTGGCCTGGCGGGCCAAGCTTGAGTGACCCCGAAAAGTAGTATGATTTGAAACTTGGTAAACAATACGAAAACACACCCGAGTAGAGCGACCCGGATTGTGAGGGTAACGACATGGATCCGCGACCCAGGCCTAATAACCCTTGAGAAGGGACGGACCCACCCGAGATGGAATTGATGCAACCAAAAGAGTATTTGGGAATGACATCTTTACCTAATCTCAAAGCATCTTGCACTAAGGTGGCAGAAAATGATGAATCTCCACCGTACGATTGGTTAAAGAAGCAAACATTGGCCCCAGTAGACCCAGTGGCCGGGCACGAGAGTCCGCGAGCTTGAGCACATTCGGGCACAGAGCATTCAAGTGACCCATATGTGCTCGATGAGTTGGGTGAGAAGGTGGTAGAGGAGCACCCCGTGCAGCCGGAACATGGCGCCCAAGTAATGTCGTTGCTAGTGTCTAGGACCATGTTCATGAGTTGACCCGGGGTACCGAGCTTGAGCTGGACCACGTAGTTGGCAATGTTGAGGACCTGCTGGCCTGAAGCAATCGGAGCAGAGGTGGTCTTTTGGGCCACTAGGGTTGACAAGTAGTTAACCCTAGCTGGATCTTTGGAGGCCATGTTGAGGACAGTGGTGACCAAAGAGTCTGTTTTGGGTGGGGAGAAGGGAGAGCATTTGCTGTAGGTGGGAATGATGGAGATGTCATCGGAGCCGTCAGATTGGGAGACACAAGAAGGATCAAGGGCTTTGGTAACAGAGATCAATAGGGCAAAGAAGAAAAATGGGGAAGTATTCTTCAAGTCCATGACTTTGGAGTCGAGATAAGCTGAGGAAAGAAAGCTTGTAGTGTGCGTCAAGGGTTATGAGAGCCAAGATATATATATAAAGTTTGGTGGAGTTAAATTATTGCAAGCAATGCATCCCAAGAATTACTGCGAATTTATAAGTTAATATCCTATAAAATCATGTGAAAATTATGGGGACCATTGGTGAGAATACACCCAAAAATGATGAGTTTGGAGGATGTGCAGCTTATGACAACTGATCAGTTCATATGCAGGATCCCAAAACAGCAAAGCTCTTTGATTGGTCCAAAAGAAGAATGTCGTTATTTAGCAGAGTTCAAACCCTAAACTTCAACCTCCATATCTATCTGCCTGAGAAAATAGAGGGGTGCTACTGCTACTTGGTGAATTTCAAATTTCTGAGTGAATCTCAAATATTGCGTCGTGTGACCTAGGATGTGTTATAAGTACTGCACAAAACATCAAATTACATTAGTCAAACTAAGCGAGGAAGTTAGACTTTAGGTTTAGGGTTCCTGATGACATTATTTCTTTTTAACTTATTTTCTTTTTCGGAAATAAAGAATACCTAACGCCTGTTCGAGGTCCTAAGGTGAAATTTGAGTGGATACAATCACTTGAAAACCATACGTATGAGGTAAAGTCGAATGTTTTCACTTCTGTGTGAATGTTTGAATCTAAAACGTCTGAGTTTACAGTTCGTTTCATGTTCAATTTAGGTCGAGTAAGTTTTCCATTAACTTTTAACTAATGAATTGTTGATCTACTTCATTAGGTATGAAGTCATGGTATTTTATGAACCCATTTTGACATCCAGCTCATTAGCAATTCAATAGCTCATTAGCAATTCAAGTCGTATGATTTTACATTTTTAAGTGTGCAATGGATATAAGAAGACACCATTGGAGGGGTTTTGCATAGCAGCAGTGGATGACAGCACCATCTTTGCTTACTGTCCTTACTTGGGCCGATGCCGAGATGCGGTCGGTCACGGGGTTAAGAAACTTTTCGCCATGGCCCAGCACCGGCTCCACTAACATGTTCGTGATCGCCCAATTAGTGTTAGTGTCTTCTAATTTTGAAAATTTAGAAAAATAGTCAAAAATTGGATCATTCTAGCCAACTATTACAAATTATTATAAATCTAACCAAAACTTAATATGAAAATACTACTATACCCATCCTTAACTAAAATATTTGCAAACCTATATCTTTTCTATCTATACTTTGCTTTAGTCAAGAACAGTCATAGGGCAGGCAGTCATGCTCTAAGCAGCAGATGACCAGAACACAATTATAGGCTTGGGGCGGCTCACATCATCGTAGACGATTGGAGGTTTTACTCATCGAGATCCATATGATTGCACCTACCCATTGGCGGTAAAGGAAAAGCACGACAATTGCTCTCCAAAGTACTCAACCCTATCGTTCGTCTGATAGAATTAACACCTGTAGACCTAACGGACTGGATAATTATTCTCTTTCTAATCTCAGCAGAAGCTGATTAAGGTAGGCATATTATTTCCAAAGACCCATTTATATTTTGACACTCAGTTAAATGGAAAATGCATTCTTTCTGCATAAGAGACTCCCTCAGCTTAAAGGGAGAACATAATTTTTAATTGACAGGTAATATAATCAGGACATCAATGTCGAGCTCTTCCTCAAGTTTAACAACCTTGTTAATTTCCTCCTTGATGGCTTTGACATATTCCTCCTCAGAAATCCTGTGAAAAAAAAAAAGAAAAAAAAAACAGAAGGGAGTTTTGATACATAGTCAAAATTTGGACCATGAATAGATGGAGATGATATATTTTTGTAATTAATTTAGTTTAAGAAGGGTATTGATGTACTTTCATGTCAAATTTTGATTAGAATTATAAAAGATAATAATGGTTGGTTAAAATTCAGTTCATAGTCAAAATTTTGTTTATTTTTCCAAATTTCCCTTTTAATTTTGAATTTTCTGACAGATGGGGAGATGGGGGCAACAACATGCACGTGATCGCCCAATTAGTGTGAGTCTCTTTTATTTATTTATTTATTTTTATTTAAAACATTCAATCTAAATACAAAAAATAAATTAAAATACGGAAAAGGACAAAAAGATTATGCAGAAATCATTATCCAACTCTAAAAATGTGAATATGTCTTCCTACAATTTCTAAAAAGATTTAAAAAAAAACAAAACAAAACAAAACAAAAAAAAAACTAGATATATATAGGTAACGAGTTGTTGTAGCGTCAGTCAATAGTTTGCACTTGATGCTATCACAATCGTTGCTAATTCATGGCTCGCAAACATTATATGTTAATGATTGTTCACTCACAATTGATACTATTCCAATATCTAGAATGGTTAAGGGAAAACGATCATAAATGTCAGAAATATATTTTCAATGTTCCTATTTCACTCTTCGTATAATCAATCACATGAGAAGCAAGAAAGAAATATTGAAAGACATACCCCGATTACATATAAGTTACACTTAATTAATTTCGAGTTCCATAAGGAATCTCACAATACTCACAAAGGTTAGATTCGAAAGAACTTTTCGTGGCTGTGGTTTTATCACTTAGTTTGTAGTTTGGCACATTACCCCACCATACTCCCGTGATTACACTGTTAATCTCAATTACTTGGATGTCACAACAATTGTTTTCATCTTCAATGGAGAGGGTTAAAAGGTCAAAATATGACAGGATTTGAAGTAAAAAAAAAAACCCATCACTAAATGAAGATTGGGTTAAAATTTAATTAATGGAGCTCACCAAGTCAAAACATGACCAAAAAGGCATCGGGTTGGCCAAGTTTGGTCTGATACCCAGCCCGTTTACTTGGGGTCACCAATAGCAGATGCATATCTAACTGTCAAATGTTGAAACAAAACCCAATCCACGGCGCGTGCTATTACTGAATTGAATCATTGTTCATGCTCGCTGATTGTTCTTCATCTCACAAATTGAGACAAAATTTCCAAAGTTTAAACTTCTGGAGTTTCATTGATCACATTAGCCGAATCAAACACCTCAAGAAAAAAAATGCTAAAATAGAGCTTCCTCGGCCTAGTGAGAGACACGAAGCTCGACGACTGGTCCTCTTTTTTTTTCGTGAATTTTGGTTCAATTGTTTCAAAAAGAGCAGGCTATGCTTATCTCATTCGATTAGAGATAGTAGATGAATATAGTCTGACACTATTCATCAAAAAGTAATTTCTTGCAAGGCTATAAATCTGAACAGAATTATATTTAGTCCATTCAATTAGAGACGGCCATAGAAGCCAAAACCAAAGAAAAAAAACATAAAATTGCGAATAGGCTCCAAAACCACAACTTTGAGATGCTACAAATACAATCCAAATAATAACAAATGCACAATGATTTGGATATTTTTTAGAAGATGCTCAAGTCAATTATAAATTTCATCAGTACTCGCTCACGAGACCCTTGTCTATTACTTTTCTACAAACGCCACAGAAGGTACAAAGCATACGGCAGCCAAGGTTGCATGCAGTGTCGCACACTTCACACATGATATGAATCATGAATTATGAAACGATGTGACTAAAATTTTTACTATATACTCTGGTGTATAATATTTTTCAGAAGAATGAAGAGTTAGATGTATAGTTAAATATCTAACAGGTAAGAGTTTAACAGTCACAAATATCGATAAATAGTACACACCGGTGCATACTAGAAAATTCGTGAATTAACTTTTGTGATCAATACATGTAGGTCCAATTTTATGTCTATGATTGAAAGAATGCAATCTCTAATGGAAGGGTGCATATGTTACGCCTTGATCTTGACATACGTCTATAGGATCAACACGTGGCGCTCAGGTGCATGGGTGCAAGGAAATAAAAATAAGAAATACTGAACTGAAATTCACAATATTTACAACAAAATGTAACTAACGCTCACTAGGGTGACATGCCCTTAGGCTCCCAAAAAGACAGTCCAAAATAAATACCAAGGTTCTAAAAATCGTTAGGTGCTAGTCGGGCAGCGGGCAGGGGCCTAACGCCTAGGTGGTCTAAGCGAATTTATGTAAATTTATTATATATCTTGTAAATAAGTGTGTGACAGCCCGTCCCGAATTATTCGTACCTAGGTGTTAATTGACGTTTTTGCCCTTGGTGGGTATTTGTTATTTTGGGTGGTTGTTGTGTTGTTTGGATGGTTGCATCTGGACCACACACTTACCCTCATCCTTATCTCCTTCCCCCGTGTACCTTCTCTGTCTCGAACAATCTCTCTCTCTCTACTTCTCCATTTGTACGGACAAGACCCAAAACCCTTGTAAACGTTGCAGATCAAGGTGGAAAATTATACCTTTGTGTTCGTGAAGACCATAGGAGTTCAACCATACCAATTTCAGGTAAGGAATCCTTCGATTTCACGTCGAACCAAGAATCTCCGTTTTGGTCACTGTTCATGCACACGTGAAATGTTGTTTTTCAGAGAATTTGAAGCTTATAGGAAGCTTAATGAGGTCCTTAGGAAACTCGGGGTGGTTCGTTGGAAGGATTTGGACGTCAGGATCGTGAGTTGCAAATTTGGCTGATTTTCCTCGAATTTCTCCGGCGAGATCCTGTGATCTTTGAGGTTTCAAACAGGTATAACGTTGTTCTACTCATCTCCAACTTTCCATTGGTGCAAATTTCATAGAAATTGGTGAAAAAATGAGTGAGAAACGAAGATTTGAAAATTTTCCAGTTTTCCAGCGACCGACGATTCGCCGGAGAAGAAGACGGAATATTCCGTCAGTTTGGATAGAATATTCTGACGCCGTCAGTCAGTTTTAACGGAATCTGTTAGGGTTTAACAGAATATTCCTGACGGTGTTAACTAATGCCGTCAGTGTGCCTGGCACGTGGCCACGCGTGGGAGGCGCGTAGGGCCGTGCCCTCGCAGGCGCGTGGAGCCTCGAAAAATTATTTTAAAATTATGGGGATGTTTGTGAGGTTGAGTAGATCACGTTGGTGTATTCACACACCCCATTTGAGCATTGTATGAGAAGTTATTACGTAGTTTTGGTTATGTGCTTTAATTGACGTTTTTATAGTTGTTTTGCATATAGGTGAAACCTATCCCGAGGACGAGCGCAGTCACTCGAGGCAAGGGGGTTACGACCCTTCCACATATCAGTGAGTGGGCTTTTGGTTTTCCATATATACCTATATACTTGTGGTTTTTCCCAGAAAATGAAATGAAATGTTTATATGTTTTAAATGCCATGCATAACGTTTGCATATTTATTTATGCATTAGTAGTTGCATATATGTATGTTTGGTGTTGCGGACACACAGGTAAGTGACAGGTAAGTTTATGGTTTATGGTTATGAATTAGTGGTTATGTGAGATGCATAGAGAGCTCATAACTTGCATCCCCAGTGTTAGTGCTCCTGCCCAGAGTAGGCCACAGTCCTTTACGTGATGTTCACCTCCCGCACCACACGCTCATCTTGGATCCAAGTTAGGTGCACAGTCATGTCGTACAGACCACTATAGGTGGTTCCGACTCATAGGTGACCCGCGATTATTTGCCCAGTCTTCATGTGATCGTAGCACTTGAGCTTATTTATTTACACCCAGTCCTGTCGTACAGACCACTTTAGGTGGTTCCGACTCGTGTGCAGGTATAGTTAGTGAGTTGCGGATTTGAGCTCTAGATTCAGCCATACAGGCCACGTTAGGTGACTCCGGCTGACATGTTACATTGCATTGATTGACATTACCTGGGTTACTTATATTTTATGTGGAGGCATTCGACATGGCATATTTTTGAACATGTTTTTGATATATGTGTGTATTTTATTTCTGGGAAATTATACAGGTTTTATGGCGAAGGGTTAGAACTTTTGATAATGAAATGATTTTGAAAAGCTTTGTTTTTGCCCACTCACACTTTCTGTTTTGCGCCCCTCCAGGTTCTAGTTTGGTTTGCTCTTTTGGTGGCTTACGAGGAATCCACGGCATATCTGACAGATTATCACCAGTGTAGGACCACATCTGGGTGTGTTTAGCTAGTGTTTGTTCCTCTGGACTGCAATAGGCTTTCCGTGCTCTGAATATTGTTTGTTACACTTACACTTGCACTTGTAAGTTAACTACATTGTTTAGTAGTTTGGTTTTTATTTATTCGTACTTTTATTTTTATATTTTGCTTCTGCACTGTGCACATGGCTAAGCCACCCTCACGTGACGGCTAGCATGCCTTGATTTCGGTCGGGATGTGTCAAGTGTCTATTTACACCTAAAAAAATTTATACTTGTATGGATAATAAAAGAATGATAAAATGCAAAAATAGAAGTAGAATAATACACAAATTATATACATCCAAAAAGTTCAATATTTAAAAAACAGTAAACATATAATCATAATAAGGAGGATTTGGATGATAGACTAAATTCTTCTTGTTCATGAATCATGATCCTTGTATTGGATTAGACATACACTAAATTATTTAACCTTGTTGTATCTAGTTTATTTCTTTTCTTTGTATGTATCCCCTCAAAAGTGCTCCAATTCGTTTCACTATTGGATGAACTTGTAGTAAATCCATCATTTGCAAATTAGGTACACCATTTCCATAAGTATACTACCATGAAACCAAAAAAGAAAAAAGCCCACAATTAATAAAAAAATATAAATATATATATATAAAAAAAACTGCCTAGGCCCGCCTAGCCCGCCTAGGCACCACCTAGCTTCGAACTGATTTTTCCAAATGCCTCGCCTAAAATCAGGGCTGGGCTCCACCGCCCAGCGCCTAGGCCGATTTTTAGAACAGTGATAAATACAAGGAAAGATATAGGGGTAACCTAATCATTCCAAGCTCTCTGTTTGCTATCCCAAGAGCTCCTCATATCTACTAACACATGTCACCTGCACAATCGCCCCTACTATGTGGGAATGGTGCACCGGGCAAAGCAACAATCCAAATAAAGTACGAAACTTGTGTGGGTGACAATAAGTCAACATATGTGAAATCATAAAACAAGTACATCCATCTCAATTTATAAACAGTACCTTGTCCTTTTAGACTAGTTCGTAATTACCAAAGCCTCTCCACGGTAGGACAAAAATATTCACTTCTTGTTCATCGACTACATCTTTCATTCCGGCCCTTCGCCTTCCTGCGATTTCCAGACACACATATCTACCTTTGCGTCATCCCTTGTGTTTTCTTGCATCAAATTTAATGTCTTGTTACTGCACGGATTATTGACAAGCTTGCAACGGTTCAAAGGTATTCAGTAATTCTGTTATGCTTTTGTCAGTACACGACGCAAACTCAATGAAAGATGGTAAAAGATAGATGGTAATACACCCGTGTTGTTACTTATACCTTATTGCTGCTATACACTATTCATTTTACATCTGCAGAAACTTTCTCCACCAGAAGAATACTATGTATCTTAACTGTAATTTCTTCCAAATATTTACAAAGCTTGATGTTCAGTTATGAATACATTTATGTACCTAGATGAAGACTATATATCTTAACTTTAATTTCCTATGTTATCATCGATGCTCACATATAATCGTTGAATGTCATTACTAACATGTTTCACTTAATAGGGTGATTGTACTAAGTACATGAATCATGAATTTATTCTAGCCAAGTCCGTAAGGTTGAGGAGGAGATAACATGAAAATTAGATGAATCTCATTTTTTAACAAGAAGACTGTATTTTAAGTGGACCATGTGTAGGGGCAATTGTGTAGGTGACAAGTGTTAGGGCTGGTTTGGTATTGATGTGCTTTGAAAAAAAACTGCTTCTACTGTGCTGTGAAAATAAGCAGTTGTGAAATAAAGCAGCAGAGTGTTTGGTAAACATTTTTGTAAAAGTGCTTTTCAAAGAAAAAAAAAAAAAAAAAAAAGCAGTATTATAGTGTTTGATAAACTTTTATGTAAAACAGATGTGAAAAAAAGCTAGTTTTTGAAAGCTGGGTTTTGCAGCTTTGTGTTTTTGGCTTTTTTTCATCCAAAACTGTGAAAAAAAAAAGATGAAGCTGAATGTTTACCAAACATAAAAAAGCTCCCAACTTTTTTTTATAGCCACTTTTTTTTCAGAATTACCTCAGTACCAAACTAGAGCTTAGTAGATACGAGTAGTTCTTGGGGTAGTTGACAGAGGTCAGAGATTTTGAAGTGATTAGGTTACCTCGATATCTTTTCTTGTATTTCTTTTGGACTTTCTTTTGGGAGCCTGTGGGCATTGTCCCTAGTGAGGGTTGGTTGCTTTTGTTGAACAGTTGGAAATATTGTGAATTTTAGTATCAGTATTCTATTGTGTATCTTGTCACTCAAATTCAAAAGGACATAAATAGCTCATAATTCAGTCTGTGCGCCATGTAGATTGTGTAATTTTTAAGAACAACATTAGTCATCTTACCAATAATAGTCTTATTCTTTACTTATGACAATTCTTTTATACCTTGTTTATTTTAGGCAATAAAAAGAATTAGAGTTTCTCATAAAATTTCTTTTTATTTCTCGTTCTTTGATTTGTTAATATAAGTGAAAAGAAAAGAGGTTGAGAATGATGCATATTGTGCAAGCACGACATAAATGTGAGTATAATTTTATAAATGTTTAAATATTGTTTAGTCCATTATGGTTGTATAATTGTATTTATTAACGATAATTTGTCAAGCATTTGCCTACCCAACGTTAGCATTGTCCTCTAGCAAACTTGCATGATTTTTTAGTTTTATTCTGGACCCAATTAGGCAAGTGTGCCAATTTTTATCATGTGCTAAAAGTACCACTTGTGTTAACTTATTTTGAAAAATGCCAAAATGGTTTAGACTTTTACTTTATATGCAGAAGGTAATTTTTTTTATTGTTTTATTTTATATGCAGAATGTAGTATTTTTTTTTCCTTCGAACAAATGATATTATCTACACTAAGTGGGTGAGAGAGTAGGTGACACGCCTTGACCCTGATATTCCCAAATACCAAGATGGGCACGTGCTGGCCGACACCCAAGGGTGACGAAACCATTTTAACATGCATGCGAGTTATAAAGGAAGAACGAAGGTAAATAAAATAAGTAAACTTAAATTTAATGAAAATGTGCGGATGTTGGAACGTGTTCAGGGCATACAATTAATCAAGAATAGTGTGAAACGAATATTACGAAATAAATGCGATTACAAAGAAAGTGGGTCCTACACCGAGAGGACTTGAAGATACCAATGCGGAAGTGCCATAACGCTAGGATTGTACGCCTCGATTCTAAGTCCTGAAGGGAGCGCAAAACAAAATGTGAGTGGACCAAAGTTTATAATAATAATACTAAGTAAAACCGTTTTCTTTTTGAACATATTAGCCCTTTATTTTGAAAATAATATAATACTACAAAATAGGTTTTTTTTTCTAGAAACTCTAACATGCCAAAAATGTTTGTATACAATAAATTCATCTCTAAAAGTGATATCGAAAGCACCCGCAGACAAATCCATAAAAGCTCATAAATCAACCGCTAATGTACCCAAATAGACGTATCATGTTTTTCGTGTACGCAACCTTAGCATTTAAAATCATGCATTCTAAGAAGGGGTCTACTCACAAATATTTTGTCACTGAATAGCCTTGCAAACTAGAAAGGATGGGGTCGCCACAAATAAATGTACCTAAGCACATAAAAAGATCAATTAGAAAAACCCTACTAAAACGATTGAATTTGGGAAAACGGATGCCGAATTTGGATTTGAGATGTCTAAAAACCTAAGGAGGGACCTTGGGTTCCCCCACGTGGCGCCACGGGACGATGGCTTGGGAAGCCACGCGCCACCGCACGTGCCGAGTTGGGTCGCCGAAAAGTTGGCCGGAAAAGTCATTGGCCCCGCCGTGGTTGTCGTCGTCGATAACGATAGAGCACAGTACCTTCAGGGAGGCATGTGTGCTCCACGCACCGAGTACGACAATCACACGCTTAGCCTCACACGTCGCCTTCCTCGCGAGGTCTGAAACTAGCCTAATTCTGGGGAAATTTTCCAGAGCTCCGTTTGAGCTCATTTCTTCACCATTTTTACATTCTAGCTATGGAAATGAAGCTTGGAATGAGGAGAAGGGATTCGTACCAAAAAGAGGCCGACTGGTGGCCGGA